GCTTGCGCCGCTTCTGCGTGCGGCAGAGGTAAAATATCACCGTGATCATCACCGCCACCAGCAGCGGGGGCAGGAGGCTGATGGCAGCCACCGGGATCACCTCTTTGCTCTGCAGCATGGAGTAGCCTGTGGGGAGGAAAGCGAAGGCGCTGCCCCCACGGGTCTGCAACAGCTCGTTTTCCTCACGTGGAGGAGGAAAATACGCAAAGCCGTTAATGAAGCGCAGCCCTTTGCGGGACCGCAACGCACGCTGCGCACAAACCCCATCCCGGCAAAGAACCCAGATGTGGGCAGGTATTAAGGGAGCAGCTTGGTTTAGGTCTCAAATTTAGTTCCATTTGTCAAGTGACAGTTCAAGATGCCTGTCCCCGTTAGCTGGGCCAGGCCGTGGGGTGTGTGAGACCCTGCTGCTGTTGCCCTTTGCTGGCTGCAAAGTGCCACTTGTGCTCATGGTGAGGGGAGCCAGGGTGGAAATCACAGCGATAAAGCTGAGGCAAGGCTCGCATGGAGCAGTCCTCTGAGGGTGGGCAGCCTCCAGGACTGCCAAGCCCAGGGGAACACTAAGATGCTTTGCATGATAATTAGCGTAAAGGAGTCTCGTTTTAGTGCTGTCTGCCCAGGTTTGCATCTCCTTCCTCATCCTGGTACAACTCTGACCCCCACCAACTGATGGGGCATGGCTGCTTTTGCTTTATTTCATTTAAACCCCTGTCAGCCTTCACATCATCAGGCACTCACACACACACTCACACACACACTCACACACACACTCACACACACACTCACACACACACTCACGCGCACACTCACGCGCACACGCACACACACTCAGAGCTCTAACCCTCGCACAACATATAATTGTCTGATCCTTTGATGTTTGTGATTCCTGGAATAAACATGCTGACTTGAGTAGAGATATTCAAGTAAAATCTTACTCAGAGGTTTTTCTGCCAAGTATAATAACCCAGGGGAAGAGGGATAAGAATCATTCCATAAGCAAAACTCTTGCTGCTTGACCTCAGTGTGTGCAGATCATAATTCAGGTTCTGGAAAAACAGAGCATTTAGCTATTTTCCTTGGCAAATTTCAAAAAAATGTGCTGCAGCTAATTTCTGCAAGGCTGTGAAAGCGTTTCTATAATAGGCCTCAGGTTCAAACCACAAGATCAACCTAAACTGATATAAATCAATAACTAACTCAGGAATATGTTTATTTTGGAAAGCGTTAGGCCTGGATATCACCTACTGCTTTAATGGATTTACCCGATGCTTCAGATCCCATCTTTGAAACTCTGAAGAAAGAGAAGATATTTTTAAGGGAGTTGCATGCGTGAGTCCTGAAGAGGGGAACTTAACCCAACTTCAGCACATTCCTTTGTGAGCGTGTCCCTGCCCCATGCAAGCCCTGGGATGCGGAGGGGTTAGATCCCTTCCACAGACAGCAAATGTAGTTGCTCTGGTGATAACCATGAGTCTGTAAACCCATGCCTTGTTGAGCATCACTCCATGGTGCTCAACTTTCCATCCCTGCCAGGGGGAGGTGGACCTCCACAGCCAGGCTCAGCTGGTGCAGGGATGGAGGGGACTCTGCATGCTCGACTCTACCCAGCATCTACCCAGGTTGTCTGTTGGGCTCCTGCTTGCATGGCTGCAGGAAATGATGCCTCTGCGTGTTCATTAGCGTGGTCTCTGAGCTCTGATGGGGTCTCCTGCAGCCCCGGTGCTAGGGTAGTGCCACCCAGCAGCACAGACCTGCAACCAGGGCTTAAGAAATGGGAAAAAAATCTACCTGCTTCAGCTGCCGAAGAAGTGCTCATCTGTATTTGATGCTTTTCTGCTCAGCAGCTGTCTATACTGTGGAAGATGGCCATAAGTGAATATTTAAAATGCAAATGATTCCTTAAAGCAGAAGAAAAGGATATAAAAAGGGTCTCTGAGTCTGGGGCTTGCCAAGCTGGTCCCACAAACCAAATCAAAGAGCAGATAATTATTTAAGGCCTGCACTGCTCTCACTCTGAGCTTCAGCACTTGCCGTGCCGGCTGGCTGGGGGAGGCTGTTTGTGGAAGCCTTTGGTGGGGGTGGCATTTCCAATGAGCCTGTTGTCATTTTAGTGTGAAATTACATCTCCCAGCATTGGCTTTGGGATTTGCCTATCTCCCCCTCGAAGTGTGCGTACCTGTTTTGTTTGGCTTGAGGAGCAGCACAGAACTGCCAAATTTAGCATCGTTTGCCTTCATTAGAAGTGGCTTGTTTGTTCTGAGAATTTGCATTTTACGTGATTTTTTTTGTTTTGTTTTTCTTTGCGTTGCAGGAGAAGCTACGTTGCCGACTCGCAGATTATGCTTAAGCTCATTTTCAGCATCTCATTGCTCTGTAATTACAGAAATTCAGAAGAGTTTTGCTTTGCTTTGCTTTTCTGTGGGTCAGATTCTTGATGGGCATTTGGATAAACCTGGTCCATTTGGAGTTAGGGAGGTTTGGACAAGTCCCCAAAGGCTCAGGATCTAGCTGGAAGAGTTTCCAAAGTACACGACCCTCCTGAGGTTCAGAAACAATCTGCCTCTTAGTTTTCCCTCCTGTGGATTTACAGCTCCTGTTGGATCTCCAGAAGCATCTCCAGGCATGCCAAGCCATGCTCACATATGTGTACAGTGCCGGGGTGGCTCTGGCTGTCCCTGCCTGGGGGAATCTTCTGGGGATCCCCAGGAGAGTGGCACAGGATGCACTGCCACGTGCTGAGCCCTGTGCCCCAGCACCACCACCTTTTTGGGTTGCAGCCGTGGTGGACACCAGCAGTTCGAGTGGGTGTGCCAGGGCAGGATTTGCTCCAGTGTGATTTATTTAAAGCTTTCAGAGCATTGACTCATGTTGGGTTACATCAGCTTTTGTGTTCCCTGGTTGATCTGCCCTGCACTGAAGGGCACAGCCTACCAAGAGATATGGTGGATTTTCCATCTCCTGATGTTTCCAGACTAAGGTTGGAGGCATTGCTGGGAAGGATGGTTTAACCAGAGACAAAATATTTGGCTCAGTAATGGGGTACAAATTCTACCTTTTATATAGGGAGGTCAAATAAGATGCTGAAGGAGCTCCTTCTGGCATTGCATCTCCTACTCTACTGGAAATAGAATTCACTTGTCCTTAGCGTTGGGTGCTTCTCCCTCTATAAATAACATTAACAAAAGCACTCACCATTGGTGTGGTTTTCAAAGATAAGTTTGTCATTGCACTCCTGCTCGTCCACGCAGCCGCAGATGTAGATGATTCCGTCCTCACTGGGCTGAAGGGTCATGATGCAGCGCGAGGTGTTATAGTTGGGGACCATGAGGTTTTCAATGGGGTGGTGGGGGTTGTGGCAGAGTGTGCTGATCCTAATGCTCTCATTGTCCTGTCTCCTGCATGTGCCAGACAAACCGATAAAGCATTAGTCTAGAGGCTCAGCCTTTGTGTCATCTTGAATCTGGTTTTAAGATTATTAGTTTTAAGGCATGTAGGGAATGACTTGTTTGCAGCAGCTCTGGTGTAATTCTACAGGGAGAGACTGGGGAGGACTGGACTTCTACAGGGAAGGCTGGGGAGGGACTTTTTTCAAGGGCAGGTAGTGATAGAACACGGAGTAACGGCTTTAAATTGGAAGAGGGGAGGTTTAGATGAGATATTAGGAAGAAATTCTTTACTGTGAGGGTGGTCAGACACTGGAACAGGTTGCTCAGAGAAACTGTGGATGCCCCCTCCCTGGAAGTGTTCAAGGCGAGGTTGGATGAGGCTTTGAGCAACCTGGTCTAGTGGAAGGTGTCCCTGCTCATGGCAGTGGGGTTCATCCAGTTATTTAAGGTCCCTTCCAACTCAAACCATCCTATGATTCTAATTATACATGCTTTGGAGGGCCTTTGTTAAAGTCCTTTATTTCTTCCAAATGGTGAAAAGAGAAATCTTTAGCACATGGCAGTATTAGGATGTGAGCCAGAAACTCTACTTGTTTCCAGTAGATAATTCACCAGTTCCTATTCATGCCTTGGACCAGGTAGTGCCAACCCTGAGTGCCCTGCATGGGATTTGGAGCAAAATACCCCCTTTAGCAATAGCAGCTGTTAGGCCAGCAGGCTTTGGGGCTGTATGTTCCTAAAGAAACCCTCCAAAATGAGGGTCCTACCTTGTATGTCATCTCTGCTGCAATACAAGTCATAATATTTCTGTTTCAGGAGGGGCTGGGACATTTGCTGCCCAAATGTTACCTGTGCAGGGGAGAGGTAGGGGACATGGGGGATGACATGCCTGCTTGCCAGTGACTGCTTGGTTTGTGCTTCCCTCCTGCTCCTCTCAATCCATGTGTGAAGCTGGAGCCTGTGAGCGCTGTCTCATCTCCTGGGCTCTTGTTCTGAGCTAATTGCTGGTTGTCATGCCCTGTCCTTGCAGGACCATTTGCTCCTGCCTCCAGTTGACCTGTGGGAGCAGAGCCCTTCAGTCGCTGGTTGGGGCTATTTCTAGAAATGGCCTGACCTTTGGAGCTGCCAAATTGTCATGTGAAGGTGATACGACTCCTGGAGCATAGGGCTGTGTCTGCCTTTATACGATGGCTTCAGACACCGAGCAACTACAAATGAGACCTGCATTGGTGATGTCCTGGTCCTCACTGGATCTGCAACATAGGAGCACCAGGGCTCAGCACAGCCATGGATGCAACAGCAAATCAGCCCCAGGTCCTCCTCATTTCCATTTAGATAATTAAGAGGGAGCGCTGCGTTTAGCGGTGCACAAGTGTTCAGCAAGCACAGTGAGAACAAGTGAAATATTTCAAGGCTTAATATGGAAAAGTCTCATGCATGAAACTCTAGTTGCTCATGGAAGCACAGCTCATAGCACCAGGTCTAGCTCCACGCTGCCAGTGTCCCTTGAGCCTTGACAACCACCAGTGGCAGCCAGATTAGGTCCTTCTCGTGTGCCACATTTTTTTGCTCAGCAGCACCTGCCTGGGCTCCCGTTAAAGCCATGGAAATGTGTCACATGTAGAGCAAAAGGGTGGGTTTGACTCTGGTTGTGGTCTGACTCCTCCAGCACAGGGCACTTGTTTTGCTGGAAAACTCCAGCTTTCAATGGATCTGGGCAGTGCTGGCTCAACACGAGTGGGATCAGCAAGAGAGTCCAGCAGAGCCATGTCTTGGAGTGCGGGAGCTCCCTTATTTTTGTGTGCAGGAGAGCCATCCTTGTTGGACTCGAGACTTCATCTCTACCTGTTCCTTAAGCTCATCTAGCACTATCAGCAGCCACCACTGACAAAATGGTGATTAAGGTAAGAACCAACTGGGCAGAGCAGGAGCACATTAACATGGAATTGCTCTTCGGGTGCCTCACTGCTGGTTTTGTTGGTAGATTTTATGTTAAAAAAAAAAGAAAAAAGGACAGTCTACTTCCAAGATACCATGGAGTATGGTCCTTTGGAATGTGCTGATTTTGCAAAAAATAAGATGATGTGGGAACAGAAATCACTCTCTGTGGGGGTTTGCTGTCCCCCAAAACAATGGGTGGAGCCTGGAGCTGGTCAAGGCAGTGCAGAGGCAGGACTATGAGCTGGGAGATGGCTTTGACCTTACCAAGCTGGGTGAAGGAATAGGTTTGGGGAGAAAATGGTGGAGATCCTAAAAAACTGGGGTGCCAGATGGATTTAGGAGTGGTCAAGCATGAACTGGGTTATGTGCGTGGATGGTGGAGTCTGAATGGAGTTGGAGATTGAAGATGGGATTAGGAGGCAGCTGTTGGTGCCATGATGGAGCCCTTGGAGAGCCAGAGAGGAGCTAATGCAGGCTGCTGGCACGGCATGTGAGACATGCTGGGCACACAGGATGTGCTGTGCACCTTGGGGCTGAACGGCTTCTGCCCTGCCAGCACCACTGGGGAAACGCAGCCCTTCTCCTACCGGGAGGATCAGCACCCACCTTGTAGAGCCAGTGGGCAATTAAAAGCTAATTAAGAGCTAAGAGCAGATCACCAGGGTTTGACTCTTGTTTCCAGAGCCTTCCCCAGAGGAGGCAGGATAACCTGGCACTGGTTGGGTTTGCACAGCAGCCCAGAGTGAGGAGGAGCGATGGGGAATGACTGGTCCTGCATGGGCTATGGGTGGCTCTTGAGCTTTGCAGCCACTCCTGGAGGTGTTAGGAGGAAATTACAACCATTAACAACTCTTCCAGGGACAGCCTCTGCTTCCCAGCCTCGTGGTGCAAAGTGCAAGGGTGAAGGTATGGAGAGATTTCACAATACCTTTGTGAAAGGGGTCTGCTGGGAAGTTAGAAATAAAAGTGGGGAAAGAACCTAAATTTGTCATCCTCTCCCTGGTACAGGGCATGGAAAATCCTCTGGCCTCAGTGCTCCCCCTGTTTTCTTGGGGTTCCAAGGTAATTTGTCAGAAGAACTTCCAGCTGAAAGGTCCCAGGAGGGTGTGATCCCTCTTCCATGGAGTGCCCAGGCTGGGTACACTGGAGGACATGAGCACATTGCTCAGGAGCATGGGGCCAAAGCTGCTGCTGTGGTTGTGATACCCAGGCAGGACAAGTTCAGATGATCCAAGTGTGCCTCTGCAAGTGAGGAACAGATAGAGTGGCTGGCTTGGAGGTGAGCCCTGCCTGCAGGGATCTTAATCTCAGGATGAGTCTTAGGATGGGGTTGGAGATGCTGGGATAAGGCTGTGGGGCTGTCAGGATTTAACCACCAGCCATTCTACTGGTGACTTGTGGCTCCACAGCTGCCTTACCCCAGCCGATATGTAGTGTGAGGTTGCAGCCCCATCCCGTTGTTGTGGGATTACTTTCCTGGCACGTGGATTTATGCTGCAGGGGTCTTGCTTTTTCCTGTACATGGAGGCTGTCAATGGGAAAACCCAGCAAGATGCTACCCAGGATTTAAGGTGGCTTCTCCATGTGCATGTCGGGGAATTTGGGGAAGGGGGTGGAGTTTGTTTGTTTGTTTGTGTTTCTTGTTGGTTTTGTGTTTTGGGTTTTTTAGGTCCATAATGCAACAATTACGTTGAGGCAAACTCCTACTGAAAGCGGGCGTACAGTATTCACGCTAATTAGCAGGTTGAGATAAAGCCCAGCGATAAGTGCTTGGCTGCCTTTCACTTTGGCAGCCAAATTAAAAGGGAAAAAAAAAAATCACTCTGGGCAGACCCCAAATGGATGTTTATTTAGTTTTGCTCATGGGGACCAAAAAGCTGGGGGAAGCACGCTTCCTGGCCAAACGATGCGGCGCACGCTTGGCCTGAAATGCAAGATTGTGTTTCCCTTCCAGGCATCTCCAGCAGAACCAAAAAAGGTCTTTTCCCAGGGGATAGGAAGGAGGTGGGTTAAACCCAGTGGGTTGAAGCCCAGTTTGGGACCAGCTCAGATGTCCATGCCCCGGATGGGGACAGACCCATGCACCCCTGCATGGGGTTTCACCAGCCCGATGCTGGAGGATATCATGGGTTTGGAGGTCAGGGCTGCTAGTGTTGCCCAGCAGGTTCAGCCTGTAAAGATAAATTCAGGGGTTTCTGGAGGTTTAGATGACCTGTAGCAATCTTGCCATATTTTGTGTTGAGCACTTAAATGATTATAATTTATTTAGAAAATAAACTAATTATAGGGCAGACCAAATAATTTTTTACTGTGAATTGTAACTTTTATTATAATGGAGTCAAAGGGAGAGGAATAAAAAGTCCTGAATGACTTTAATAGGCAATAATTCAAGTGCAGGAGTACATCCATGTGTGTTCCCATGAGCTGCCACCCTCTGAACCCCTTTTTCCCCCGCGTCCCCCCTTTTTGAGAGTATTGCCACTTACCATATGGCGACGCAGATCTCGTAGGGGTCCTCGCAGTAGGAGTTGAGGTTGCAGTTGCTGTAGCACACCTTCTCCTCGCAGGCTGGTGGTGTGGAGTCGCACCACTTGCAGAGGTTGGTCTTCAGGCTGCGGCGGGCGCTGGCACAGCAGGCTGCGGGGCAGAGGGGTGGTGGAGGGTGAGCGCGGCCGTGCTTGCCCAGAGTGGGGAAAAATAAGCACCATTTTCAGCAATTTGCACAACCAGTAGAGAAGGAGCCCCAAATTGATGCTATTTTTCCATGCATTTGTTTATAGCTTTCATTTTGCTCCGTTGCTTGGTCAAATGTGCTTTAGATTATGCCAAAGCCTAGAGGAGATGGAGGGATGCCGGCGGCGCTGAGGCAGGTCCCGCCAGACAAGAGCTTTGCAGAGCCTGGGAAGCCGTAGAGAACCGTGTTTTCCCTCTGTGTTTCCCAGACTGTTTATCACCAAGGGGAAGATTATTTCTTCCTGTACAATCTAGGCTCAAATCAGCATCTCCCCTCATCCTGAGTGCATGCAGTGTCCGAAAAGGGACATCTCTGGGTCTCTGCATGCCTGAAGACTTTATTTATACCCCTCCCTGGGAGGAGAGAACTGCTGGGGAGGGATGCACAGCCAGGCTGGGGCAGCTCCCTCCTCTCCTGCTCCTTCCTCTGCCCGTTCAACCAGCCCAAGCTGGGGAAGTGTTTGCCACCCGCTCCCCAGGCATCTGTGTTTGTGGCAGTGAATGATGGGCTGAGCCTTTCCTGAGCTCTGGGGCAGGAGGGGCTGCTCCCTGCATGGCTCCGTTGCCCACTCTGTCTCAGCCCGGCATAAGATGATCTCCTGCCCCTGGA